AAAAATTAAAAATTACAAAAAAAAATTAAGAATTACAAAAACTTTGAAAATTAAAAAAAGCATGTTGGGTTCTTTCAGGTTGATGAGAAGGAAAATCAGCACGTGTCGCAGCTTTCTTCCCATGGTGCTAGCTCTGCCACCTTGTACCTAAAAACAACCGCATGCTACTTAAAGAGGAAGGTTGGACTATAAAACCACCCAATAAATTCGGGTACTGTAAACTCTCACAGCTCATTCTGCAACTGGCAGCCGTGGTGAACACATGGGGAGAGCTAGGCTGAGATAGTATACCAAGTACACCTCTTCAACATTATGTGGAGACATGGATATGTACATGAAAAGTATAATATTTTACTAAACAACAAGAATATAGACTAATATAAACTACACAGGCATGTACTATGCCAATCCTGGTAAACTGGGACTTCATCTATTCAGCATTTCAGACTTGGATTCTAATATAATGCAAGAAGCCGCCAAATGCGTTTCTACATGTTTCTCCATTGTATATTTGTTAACATACAACTATCATATCAATAGAAATCTAGTTTGGCTGTGGATAAGACGTGCAATTTGTGACTACAGATATAAGTTTTTGAAACAAACATGGAAGCTTGACAGAGGCTCATCTCTGCTGGAATTGTTCAAATTGGAAACTATAGGCCCTTATCGTGTATAACGACTGCCAAGTAAATGTTACATGGATTGTGTTTATATATATATAGGTTTGCTGCAACTGTCATTCCTTGTATGGCAATGTTTTGTTAGAAAAACTAGTGAAGATAAAATACAACATTTTTCAAAACTTCAAACGTCAGTTAATATGCAAATCACTGTCTGTCGTCTGCTCCCATTGTTTCCACTGGCAGTCGGGTTCAGACACCCCGTGGCTTATAATCCATTTATGATGTTGGGAGGATGTGCGGGGTCAATTTAGCTACTAGATCCTCACAGGGGATAGTTTCTTTATTGGTGGAGGACTCTGGGTCCTCCAAATTCCTCTTTAAGGCCAAGTCCTTTTTTAAAAGTCTTGCACCTCGGATCAAAAACAAGATAATGCTTAACTGGAAATAACCATAAAATGAGTGTTGTAAGGGGGAAGTTTTTGTTCACAAAGAAGAGAAAATGTAATCGGACTCAAATAGTCTTCCTAGTACGTCGGTGAAGGTTTTTCCATGTATTATGCAAATTAGGTGTGTATTTGCATAATTTGCATCTGTTTTTGTCCCAATTGCTATAGATTACATACATTATATGTATCAAAGTCATTTCATGTACAATGGGTTTTTATGAATTTCCAAATTAATTATGCAAATTAGGTCCACATGAACACAATAATTTATAATTATTCTTCCACTTTGAAAATTTTCGCCGGAAACTCCCCCTGTAGTTCCAGAATACATTCTAGGTGGACGAAAACAACACCACCTGTTCCTGACATAAAAAGCTATCTGTCACTAAAAAATCACGACCATATAGCATGTTGAAGACAAAAGATACCAAATACGGAAGTTCTGCTGCAGTGCCAAGGTCAGCCGCCAGGATGTCTTTGACCTTGACCTTTGTCTTCCTAAGACCTACCAACATACCAAATATCATCACAATCCATAAAGGCCTTCTTGATTCATGTTGACCACAAGTACGCGGAAACACGCACGCACGCACACGCACACACACATGCACACACACATACACACACACGCACACACACACACACACGCACGCACACACACATACACACACACACACACATTTGTTGTCAGATTTGACCCATTGTAGTACAATTTACGTTGAGCATAAAATGCCACAGCACCACAAAACACACACAGAAAAACAAGATGTTTAACGTCAACAGGGTATATGCGCTATGCAACCTGGGAGACCACCCAGTCGCAATGCATCCTGGGAACGGGAGTTAAGCTTAATATACATATATGGAACTGTTAATTGTCTGAGATTTGAAGCTCAAATATCACTATGGTTGACGTCTTTTTACGACGCTTTTGGAGCTCCTAGACAAGAAAATCAGCAAGAGATTAAAAAATCGAACAATTCAATTCTCTTTCAAACATTTATCTACCAATTCTGGCATATCATTAAAATAGCCATAATAATAAGAGGACTGCATTTCTTAGTCACGTACACCCTTCTGAATAATGCAGAAAAACGTACTAAGTGTAGACATATTAACTGTTCTGCTGCATGTTCTTTTTCTCAAACTGTTGTGATGGCAAAATTGCCGTTACATCAGAATCTAAAAACCTAGCTATTAAATTTCTAGGCTTATATTACGATTGTGAAACGTTACTTGACGGTTGACCTTCCCTGAAAACTATATCTAACAACGTCGACGGTCAGAAAATGGCAAATCTGTCGCCCTCACATCTACTTTGAGAAAAAAAACTCTAAATGTCTGACTATGGGCGTAGGCCATCGACGCTAATTAAGACTTGTGAAACGGTCTACACAACACATTTTACCTTTTTTCCGTTCAATGGCTGAAACATACATTCCGACAGTCAGAAAACAGCAAATCTGTCACCCTCACTTGAAAATCTACTTGAAAAAAAGTCTAAATGTCTGACTATGGGCGTAGGCCAGTGACGCTAAATTAAGAATTGACAAACTGTGTACACAACAAATTTTACCTTAGTTCTTCATCCATGCACTGGCTGAAACATACCTTTTAAGTTAGTCAGAGGAGTTTCATATGGCGCTTTCTTGACAGGGATAGGGTGGCGTTTGCTGTTTTTCTTGCAGGGTGTGTCAGCCTCCTTCGGTAGCTGATCCGCAATGCCGTGTGACAAACAACCCACGATTAGTCCTAAGTATATGGTGGGGTTGATTGTCTGAAGCTGCCAATTTGAATAGTATTATATATTCATATTTATATTTACTTGTCGTAACATTATTGGTCATGATGAAAATTATAACCATGATGCAAGTCTCGAGTTGCATATTTACTTGTCTTCGCAATACCTGGGTGTGGCTCGAGAAAATATCAAATAGAATCAGGTTTACGAGGTTTATAATTGTGTCCAATTCAGTATTTTTTAAAATTCTTTTTAAAGGATTCTTGTATATAAGGAAGTTGCAATGATGTAGATTTGCCTCTAGACCAAGAGGTTGTGAGTTCGAATCCCGGCTAGTTGTTGTCGCTCACCATTAATACAATATTCGAACTGCATATGCAACTTTCTGAACACGCCGTCCCTGACACTTGCAATAGCGCTCCTATCGGAAAGCTTAAGAACTGCATATACCAGGCGCTTCAAGCGTAAAATAGTGACTGAAATGTAATCTCCAAGCAGATGTTTCGGCGGCTGCAAAAGACAGTATCAAATTGGCCAGACAGTGCCCATTAGCCACCGACTTCGGCGGCTAATAGGCACTCCTCTGTCCAATGGATACTGCCTTGCCACCGTATGATCTGCTTGGAGATAAACGAAAATGTGGACTAAAATATCATGTAGATTTCCTATAGCCTGGGTGCCATTCGATGGACTGTGGGAGTGGACGTATTAAAACTAACCAGGATGGTACCCAGGCTAATTTGCACTCGCTACCCCGAAAAAAATTGCCGCAGCGATTTCACAATGAAGGAATGAACGAAAGAAAGAACGAATGGATGAATCAACGTATGAATGAACGAAAGAACGAACGAATGGAAAATGCACATACTGTCTTTTTCACCCTTTTACACTTACTATAATCCACTGATTCCTCTCACAATGAGTTCAGGGTGCAAGATCGAATGAAGGATTGACTGAATGCCTCTCTTCTCTTTGGCAGTTTAGTCTTGCAGACTAATTTGCGGGCTTTTGGTGACTTCTTGTGTAGCTTGAAAGTATGAGAAACGCTGACACTCGTTTTTTTCTCTCCCAGAGGTAGAGTTAAATCCCCTTCCAACGCGCGGTTGGGGGGGGGTCCTCTCACCAAGGAATGGATGAATGAATGAATGAATGAATGAATGAATGAATGAATGAATGAATGAATGAATGAACTCCGACTCTATCCTGTTTTTATTTTTTTTCTCCTGGCTAAATCCCCACCCAATGCGTAACAGCGGCCCACTGAACGGACTAATTTAAGAAATAAATGAATGAATGAAAAACGCTCAAAGTACCCTGACCCTTTAATTTTTTTTCCTCTCCGGGCTACCCCCCCCCCCAGCGCACGAAATCGGTTGGACAGCCCCGCCCTGATCGGGCAAATGAATGAATGAACGAATGAAAAAGTCCTACACTCTCCTGTTTTTTCATGACTTAACCTAACCCCTCCCAGCGCGCGACATCGGTTGGACAATCGTTATTGGAGGGTCCTCTCAACAAGGACCGAACGAATGAATGAATGCTCGGATACAGTAAAAGAAGAATGCTTGAATAAATGAACGAATGCACGAACCAGTGGTGGAATGAATGAATAATCGAACGATTGAGCGAAAGGGTAAACAAACGAGTGAATGAAAGGACGACTGAATGAATGAATGAATGAAATTAATGAATGAATGAAAAACGCAGACAGTTCCCTTTTATCTTATTTTTTTCGTCTTTGACCTAAACCCCCCTCCCTATCGGGCGACATCGGTTGGACAGCCCCGCCCCGACTTCCCGCCTTGCGTGATCGCAGCCGTGCAGGACGGTGACGTCACGTCTCCCTATAAATACCGCCGTGCGTCGGCGCCTCACTTCCCCACCGTCTTCTCTGTGCGTCAGCCGCCGCCACGTCCGCGGCTTCTCCGACCAAAAATCGTCCCAAAACCCCGCTACTAAGCGCCGTACGGCTTCCGTGGACGTCCCTGCGTAAAGGTGAGTACCTTCTGGTCAAGGTTGTACGGCAGAGAGCGTGAGAAGATCGGAGTTTGTAGAGTTTTGGGACGTTACGTCAGTTAGACGGGGGCGTCGGGGGCTAAACCCGGTCAGAAACAAACAACGCTTGTGTCGGAATGCCTGGGTGAAATCTCGCCGTCTGACTTAGAATATCTCCGTAAGAACCTCTAGAGGACGGATCTGGAAGAAAAAAGGGTGGTTTCTGTCATGGTTTTGGATTTAGAGGCGAAAATTTGCGTCGGTGTCAAAGTTTGCAGACGGCGGCTTGTGACTTTCATGTCAGTCACGGCTGACGTCACGCTGCGCACGTACAGACATTCCAATGGGCTGGCGTGACCACGTCTGCGAACCGACGACAAAAAAACTCGCATTTTCTCCGCTTTCTCCCTCAAAATCCGCTCCAAAAACTACCTCCCGGCAAACTTTCGAAACGGGATGTGTCCTCGCCGTTGTTTGTGTGCACTACATGGGGGATTTGCGCGCAGTTTTTGGGTGTTTGCTACCATCAGGTATGGCTGGCACCCCAGCCCTGCGCTCGGATCGAGTTACGGCCAGCGTCCTGTAGCCAGTCGCCCGTGGATGGTCCTGTTTTTCAAGACAGACACGTAACTCTTCTCGGGCGACACTTGTGTCACGCAGCGCTGCTTTAGCTATTAGTTACAACATGTCGGCGTATATAGTGGATGCTTGATTGAAATGCAGGGCATGTTTTGGTGGGGGAAAAAGCGGAACAGTCAGTTGGTAGTTGTGTGACCATGCATGCACATCCTCGCAGTGACCTCATGCAGCGGCGGTGGCAGCTACATCAGGAAGTCCCCTGCGGGCTGGGGGGCGGTGCGTTATATGCGGGGGCGCTTCGTTATGTGTCCCAGGGGTGGGGGTGTAGGAGGAAGTGGGAAGACAACTGTCACGACTTTGCTCTGGGTGGCACGAGTTCTGGGTATAACAGCCAATTAACGGGTTTACTGGCTTAGAAAATTAAATGCTTTTAGAAGGGACAGTGCGTTAGAATTAGTGTGAAAGGGGGCATTGGAAAAAGTGTCCAAGAGTCAGAGAATAATTATTTATGTATAAGTACGATAGTGCATAAAAGATCACACGACAAAATTGTTGACTGAAGAAGCAATTCATATATGAAAACGTGCTTTTTATGATGGGTTCAGTATGTAGTATATATGAATTGTCATTTCCAAATAGGTTACATCTAATAAAGTAATAAGTATACTTCAATAAAAAAAAAGATAACAAAAATGTGTGTTTTGACATCATTCAATTCCTATCCACCTAAAGCTTGTGTAGAAGATGACACCCCATAATTTGTAAACAAATAGTGTACAAAGTGATTGGTTTTTGATAACAGATCTTTGTTGTACCTTCACAGTCCATTGAGCAAACTACAACAACATTACTTACACATGCAGAACTGATGTCTATGTATACAACTACAACTTTTTGCTGATCAGCTTGGCTACATGTATAAAATTCTTCCTACTCTATAGTGTTAGTATGACATTATATTTACCCAACACAGTGCATAATCATATTGAAGCTTGCTTGGAAAGAACTTTGGTTTTTGCACATTTTTCCAGATCTTTGATTAAAAAAAGGAGTATATCTATCAATCTATTTTAGGTAACGTAACATGATGTCGTTTAGAAAGCTCTGATCTGGCACACAAAGTATTCAAAACAGGAACAGTGAAAAACCACATGACGTAAAAATATGCAGCTGTAACAGATTAAAATGTCAACATTCATTGTGGAGACATGAATCTGACCTGAAGATACAAGTGTTCGTATAACTTCTTATTCACAACCAGTCATAAGCTCTGAGGAAGGTTTCTGATAGACATCGAAACGTCAGCACATTTAGGTGAGAATTGGTTGTCTAAATAAGAACACTTAAAAGTTGTATCCTATACTTACTTTACCAACCTGATGAAACTATTTTCGGAAGTAATGAATCTGACCTTCTCGCCTGTCACTGTGAACATGGAAGTGTGCTGTAAGGTCAAACAAACATTGTAATGGCACTGACCCTTGTGCTGTTAGGTTGTAAGTCTAATTTTAAGGTATTCAATGAAATTTCAGGGTGGCAAAACAAGAAAGAAATATTCTAGACAGGGCTCGAAATATTGGGTTAGGTCAAACAAATGTTATGGCACTGACCCTTGCGCGCAGTGTTGCACAGTCACTGACCCTTGCACAGTCAGGTTGTAGGTCTGAGAGTCTAGTTTAAAGGTGTCTAAAGCAATTTCAGGGTGGCAAAACAAAAAATAAATATTTTGGATGAGGAAGTCTGTCTGATGTTGATATTTACTGCATTACTTAGCACATTTTCGTCAGTCTGAGTGTTTGATACTTGTTCTAGCATTTGAAAAAGCCCAGAAACATTCTAGGCCAATAATCAATTTTTCAATATCATGGGATACCACTGATATGTGAATCACATGACTATTACTAATGGAAGATACCACTCGCATGTTAGGGTGCTATTTTAGGATTTCAAAAATAATCTTCATTTGGGATGGGAAAGTGGTGTATGTGTTTATGTCTAAAGCATAACATACACGTATATCTGATTAATTTTCATAGCTGGGCAATTTTTCTTTTTGTCATAAACATTTTAATTTCTAATACTTCAGTCCACTCTCCTCTGCAAAGGTTTCTGGGTAATACATCGCCATGGCGACCAGGGAAGCGGCCAATGAGGGGTCAAGGTCCCCTGTAAAGAGTGACGATGGTGACGGGGACAGCGAAGTGGCGTATCCAGTCATGTGTGGGGACAACCAGGGGCTTCTGATATGGAAGAAATTCATCTGTCCAGGAATCCACTCAAGATGTATCAAGGTAGGTGGAATCTTAGTTGATTAAAGTCCTTCTCACAACCATTAGCATGGTCTCATTTGGTGGCCCCAGCTCTGTTTCGAAGCCCTTGGGCCAAACAGTTGTGCAATCACTATAGCAGGGGGCTAGTCCACTGGTAGTGGTGTGAGTTTAACTTCCATACTGTCTCAAATGTTGAGTGCTAAGCAGAGAATGTATGCATCGACTGTGTCCCTCTACCGACACTAAGAGCCCCTGCATAGTTAGAATTTAATAGGATGGCACCCAGGTTAGAGTAGATAACTTGTTATGCTTGATCAGTAGAGAGAGGTTCCAAAACATGAGTCATCAACAAGGGAACAAAAGACCTCTCTGTTACCTTGTGGAAGGCACCAGACATGATAATATATCTGTTACAAGGCTTAGTTTACTGGCAGCATTTTTAAAACCATACTGAAATACCTGCAAAACTTGAAGTTTACCAGCACGATATTAACCTGCATATACATATCATATACAAATCTGTATTCTGTATCTGTATTACCAGCATAACCACCCTTCAGCATAACACACCAGCTTCCCAGGCACGCGGCACGGCGGCAGCTGGCTACATTACACCTAACAACTTGTTCCAACTAACCCTTAAACATCTAACTCTAAACATTTCTTAAAGCTACATGTGTCTATTGATAAATACATAATAGCATATACATGTTTATATACAAATGTATGCTGAAAGGTGGTATTTGAAGCCTAACATGGGTCACTGGGGAGGGTAACAGTGCTAAAACTCAGTGTTTATAAGATGCACTCATGTGTGTCTCTGAAAATAAATGCAGAGAATAGGATACCAGCTAGTACAAACAGGGCACGGCCTTCTTAAAACAAGCAAGTGAACTCTAAAAGTGTCTGGTACAATACTAAGACTTCAGTCTACAAAAATGTATGTCTGAATGGAACACAAAGCATCAGACCAAAAGTATGTACATGTACATGTACAAGTACTACTAGTATTATGAACAAACTGTACTTAGAAAAATAGTGAAACCTGAAGTAGTTAACAGAATCACCATACATACATGTATGCCTTGAATTGTATTACATGTACTTTAGCTTTCACTCACTGGCTCATTCACTCACTCACTCACACACTCATTGACTTATTTACACACACACATAATATACGCATGCACTCACACACACACACACACACACACACACACACACACACATTCACTCACTCACTCACTCACTCACTCACTCACTCACTCACTCACACACACACACACACACACATGTACACACACGTACACATGCTCCCAAGCTTTTACTAAGTTTTAGCTCAAAGTTCTAGCTAAGGCCCCACTACTTAAATTCCTTCTCTTTCTGCTGTAGCTGTATCTGTATAGCCAGTATAACCGCCCTTCAGCATAACACACCAGCTTCTGTATCTGTGTAGCCGGTATAACCACCCTTTGGCTTGACACACCAGCTTCGCAGGTACAATTTCAAATTGCAGCTGGTATATAATGAAGTGGGTGGTCTCAAAGACTAATTTTTATGTTTTTCCCAGTACAATGGAATGATGCGGACTCCTAAAGAGTTTGTGGTTGAGGCGGGGAAAGCTGGACTGAAGGACTGGAAGAGAGCGATCAGGATCAACGGAACCATGATCAGGTAAGGGTGAGGTTAAATGTGACCACTAACCTAATAAGTGATAAAGAGTTTGGGTCCACTCACAGTAACACGTACATGAATGTGACACAAGTAACTAAATTCAAGACTATGATGCAGGGGTATAAGAGAAAGTTTTACAACATGTACATAATCCAGTTTATTTGCATTTAGCACCAAGTTACAACAGAAGGCTTCCAAACTTTTCTTGAATGCTTTCCATGACTTTCTATTTTTCTTTCCATTTTTTCTCTTCCAGTTATTGTATTAGCTGCAAGTTGGTATCATTTCTCAGAGTTTGTCAAAGTTGGTCTAAACTAAGTTAAAGTTGATGCAGTTTGGTTGTGTCCAGGCAAATTCTGGAGATAGGCAAGAATACTGCTTACATTTTGACATTTTGGTTTCCTTTGAAGTTAAAAATATTACCGTCTTTCCAGGAGAATGATGGAGACAGGAGAGCTGGATTACTATCAGCACGAGCAGGTCTGCTCCAAAACCTGCCGCAGTAATCGCTTCGACGTGCCTTCTGGTGTGGCTCTGCAACTGAGTCTGCAGGCCAGTGGGCTCAGGCCACCCGAATTTGTGCAGACAGAGGGACAGGGCATACCTCAGGTAAGAACAACAAACCCGTGGAACTAGAACTAGCACTACAACTGTTACAGGTACAGGTACACAGGTTTAGGTACAGTCAAAAATGTAAGCATCTTCCACTCCAAGTCCAACATCCATTTGTGTATTTATATTCACGATTTGCTGTTCATTGCAATGTTAATGTTGTCTGTTCTCTACCTGCCAGGGATCAAAGTACTTAACTGCAAGTTAAACCTGAATGTTCTTTCTCTATGTTTCTAGATGGTTCCAGCAGAGAGGCTGTATGCAGCAGCAGCTGCTCTGGGTGCCTCAACACCTCGCTTCACTCCAACCTCTCCAACTCCTGTGTCTCCTGAAGGTAAGAAAAATTGTCTTATTATTCACAAAAACCCCAACCCTAGCCTCTCCAAAGACTGTGTCTCCTAAAGGCGAAGAAAATTGTCTCATTGTTCACAAAAACCCTTACCCTAGCTAGCCTCAACACCTCACTTAACTCCAACCTCTCCAACTCCTGACTCTCCTGAAGGTAAGGAACCTTTCACAAGTCTCAAGGTGTCTGAATTTCCACAATTCCAGGCTAAGAAAAAAACACAACTGGGCCAGTTAGAAACTGGACAATGGTAATGTTTGAGAGATCTCTAGCAACCCTAGGTACATGTATGCAGAGTATAAATATGTAGGAGTGCATTATACTAGTGGATGTTGCTCTCTTAAGATCTCTTTAGGTACATTTTTTCATGGTGGCCAGTCAGAATTATGTTAGTAAGATGTTTTACAATCTTGTTTTGGAAATGAACACTCATAAGAAAATTAGCCTGGAATCCATCCCTACAAGCTATTTGCCAATTCTAGTAGACTACATAACTGCGAATAGCTTGTAGCGATGGCTTCCAGGCTATAAGAAATGTTTTGACCTAAGTAAATGATGTTGACTTGTTTTCAGATTCCCTGTTGTTTTGGTCTGGAATCCGAGATGTGGGAGTTTTGGACGGGATCTTTACCTGGATATTCGACGCCCTGTCAGACCTACAGCAGTGTGTTCAGCACGGATCATGCACTGCAGACGGTTAGTGGTCAAGTTTTGGATCTAGATTGTTAGATTATTTGTTGTTGCATGTATACTTAATTTCAGTGTAGGGCTGCGTACCTAACAAGGTGGTAAGTTGGTCTTTTAACTGGTTAGGGTCATTGACTGGAACCTGAAGGTTCTGGATTCAAATCCCTATTATCCTCCAATGTTGTGCGGCACTTGTGCCCTTAAGAAAGGCACTTAACATCTAGTTCTTCACTTGACTCAGGTGATAATGAGTGCTACTTGGTTGGATGGGCTGTAGGTCCTGTGTTTGGAGAGAACCACTCGTCGAGAACCTACTATACGAGTACTTATTGAAATGAGTTGGGGTAATTCTTGGTGCGGTGAATCTAACACACCAACACACCAACACACTGCTCTGTACATAGAGGCCCAGATGCTGACGAGTGTTCTGAACGGCCTGGGCCTGATGGAAGAGGTTAAAGCCCGTCTGGCACAGCAGAAGTCCTTAAACTAACGATACTGACCACTGTACATGTGTGAAACACTCTTACATTCATTGTACATGTATACTGCTCTGTATACAGAAGCCCAGATGCTGACGAGTGTTCTGAACGGTCTGGGCCTGATGGAAGAAGTTAAAGCCCGTCTGGCTCAGCAGAAAACGGAGGCAGACAGGCAGGTGGAAGAGTACAACCGAGATCTGCAAGGTCAGCAATCTTCCACACATATCCTGGGTGAATATTTTATTGATTACCTTAAACTAACACCAAACTGCATGGGACGGACACACCCACTCACCCCCAATACTACAATGGTAGGGCCTGACTGTGACCATATATGGGCAGGATGCCAAATATGGTATGGTTAACATGCCATATATGGACATGATGCCAAATATGGTCTGATGCCAAATATGGTCTGATGCCAAATATGGTATGTTCAACTTGACCATATATGGGCATGATGCTAAATATGGTATGGTCGAACCTGACCATATATGGGCATGGTGCAAAATATGGTACAGCCCAATCCTGACCATATATGGGCATCATGCCAAATATGGTACAGAGGAACCCTGACCATATATGGGCATCAATACCAAATATGGTGCTAAACTTAATGTCCTAAAAATCAGTTCTACTTCAGTATTCGTTTTCCATTTCAGAAATATTGTAAACTAAACAAGATTTAATTAATAATTCATGGAAATATAAATAATTTTAAAGAAAAGGTTTTATGTCGTGTTGCAATATTTGGTAGTGACCAAAGAAGTTGGAATGTTCCACTGAGAGAAATGGGGGTGAGTGGGTGCCCTGACTGTGACTACAACTCACTGCATGGAATCAAGTCAACAATGAAGAAACAAGCAATAGACATCTTCCCTCCATGAACGTGGTTGGTGTTGTTACTCCGTGAAGGAGGTCAGGACCTCCGGACGGAGTGTTGTAATCGGCTGATTTTTCATGTTCGCAGTCAAAACACTGGGTTCTCTTTGTGTAATCGGCACGCAATTTTATACGCCGTCTGCGGGCATGCCCGTGTTGATGCACGAATGTGTATTTTTGCCGTTGCTGCTTTCGCGGTCAATGTAATATCGCAGACGCACCCCTACAATTACGAGGCGAATTGGAATGGTCCAGAAAAACGCGTTGTTTGGAATAGCAGTGGGGTTCAAAAAAGTTCATGCAGATACGGGGTGGTTTTTATAAGTGGTTCCAGATGTTTTTGCCCATGGTTAAGAGATGCCAAGTTTTTTGGAAGATGTTCGCAGCCAAAACGCATTCTTCCGTACGTCGCATTTCTGTGTAATTTCGCATGTGGTGTTGCATTATGTCCGGGATGATGCACGTCTTTTTATTTTTACCGTAGCTGTTTTGATATTGGAGTAAATGCTTATTTTCGTAAACATCCCCATTTCTTTGAAATGGTTTCGTCCGTTTATGCAACTGTTACTGCGCTAATGACGACCAGTCGCGCTGTCCTGATACACCGCGAATGTGCGACTGTTCCCTGTAGACAGTCCCGGGAGTCATTTTTTTGCACATTCCAGGAGCCAAACCAAAATACGTTCATGAACCGAGTCCAAAAAACCGAAACGTGAAAATCGGATGATCGGACCTGATGTACATTTCTCTTTCTATAGATTGTACACACAATACACACATCTTTAGATAATCTGGCCATGGCAGGTTAAAAAAAAAGTAACCCTGAATCATACTAGATTAGCGTAAATGCATGTTAATGCGTTCAAAACAAGAAAAAAATTGTTTCCGGGTATTAATCTCTTGAATCACGGCGCTGAATATTGACGCAAAAATATTTCGGGCATCGCGCGCCCTTCCCGCGTCACGTGTAGGCATCTCGCATCTCTGATTGGTTGTTGCGTCTTAAGATGACTGAGCCGACGCGCGTTTAAACAATTTTTCTTTGTTCGATTTATCACACTTCACAGAGAATTGTCGCCAATGGCTACTTCTTTTTGTTGCAATATATAATACTTCACGGAGAATTGTCGCCTATGGCTTCTTGTTAGGGTTCTTTATGTTATCACATGTGTTCATTGTTAAAACATGACAGCTGGGTTTAAATTTAATTGGACGTTATATGGCCATGAATAATGAGGGAGTTGCTTTGTGTTGGTACAATTTTAATTTTTATCATGTAAGTACCAACCCAGATAAACTTTCAAGCGAGTTTTAGTACTTAGAGACTTGTATGTTCTGAATTGAAAGAAAGAAGTAAAGAATTGATGGAGCAGCCTGTACTTTATTCCATATATATCATTTCATAGCTATTAGTAATGCAAGAATCCTACTCTGATCTCTTTGTTAACTGAGCAAATTGATGTTACGTGGTCACGAGAGATAGGGACGACTTCACTCCCAGATATACAACTCAGGACTGGCCCCGAGTTTATTTACATCACTAATTGGTAACAGAGGTTGGGGGGGGGGGGGGTACAGTGGCACAGATATCAATCCTGCAGAGGTGAGGTCATTGACCTCTCAATCACAACACAAACAAACCGCCCCATTAGCAAGGCCGGCAGGTCAGTAACCCAAAAATAACCAGACCAAAGAAATATATAGCCTGTCAAACAGGAGGTAAAAATAGATACACGGTATCCCAATTGGGGTCAACAAAGACCACACTACTATAAAATAGGGGTGATAATGTAGAAATCCTTTTAGATTAAGCAATACAAATATACGACAACCTGCTAATGCACTCTAAAACACAAAGAGACTCAACAACTACCCACATACCAAATATTATACCAAACGACCCACCAGATTTTCCAAACATTCAACACAAAAAGACCAACGTTAAACATATTGTAAATATCAAACGCAAACAGCTAGGAAGCCCAAATTTAAACAACTAAACCATGGTAATAACAACTACATGCTACCTTAATATCGCACAAACAGTCCATAACGTGCAAACAACAGAATAAAAAAATTAAACTGCAGTACCAAGGTCAATCACCAGGGGCTCAAAGTCAACCTACACAATCTCCAAGGCCCCATCCATCAATCTGCCAAATATTGTACAGTTCCTTCTCACCGATCTTCAGATATCAGACCAAACATGAAACGGAGTAAAAACAATACCCCCATTTTCATGGAGGGTAATAATCAACAAAGTGCTAAATAGAAATACCAAATGGGTCAGCTATGTAGGTCTTGTATCTATTGTATTTTTGAACAAGTAGTAGTGACTTTATGACTGGAGAAAAAGTATGGAATCTTTTCCACAGAGCTTTACAAGAAAGAGAAAGACCTTTGTCATCGAGGTTTCAGTGTAAATCTTTTTAGTGGATCTGTCTATTGTTTATGTAACAATAAGACCAGTCAGTCAGCATGCTGTACTTTATACTGTAGTGCATTGAAAACAGTTGTAGGAAAGGTATTTTTGCATGAAAGGAAATTCATAGGCAATTTCAACTCTACTACTGGATAAAATACGAAATAACTCACAGACATTTCAAGCAACATCCACCACTCTTCTTCAGCATCAGTAGAATGAACTGGCATAGGGTGTTCGACCATAGAAGGATTGGCTGTCACTCCAAAGTCCACTGAAAACATAGAGAAGTTACCTCCATATTTTATCCAGCAGTAGAGTTTGAATCTTTTACCTGGATGTCTAAACTTCAGAGAACTGAGGTAAAAAAAGCTAACTGTAGGAAATTGGTGTTAGGAGTGTTTTCAATGCCTTTCTTCACAGAGTTGGAGAGACAGTGCGCAGAAAGGCGGCGACAATCTCAGGCGTTGAAGCGTCGTCTCGAGAGACTGGAAAACGTTCTTCAGCACACTCCTGGAAGAAAAAGGGCGCGGGCACTCTCCCCACAACAGGGGGCGACCCCGAAACCATCCTCCGCCACCACCGCGCAAACAAACAGGCACCTGTCGCCGGAGGCAGCCCCGCAGGACCTGAGCATGAAGAACGGGCACTCGATAAGTTCTCCGCTGGACAGCTCGCTGTCTTCGAGTCGTAGCAGCACCCCCGGGTTACACTACATGAACGGAGAATCGAACGAAAGAGAGGACCGGAAAGGAAGAATGGTCGCAAAACCGGAAGTGAACTCAAGGTCGTCTTCCAGGTAGTGATGGACTCAAGGTCGTGTTCTATTTTGTATTGATGAATGAACTCAAGGTCATCTTCCAGGTATTGATGGTGGACTCAAGGTCATGTTCTATAATGTATTGATGAATGAACTCAAGGTCATCTTCCAGGTAGTGATGGTCTCAAGGTCGTATTCTATAATGTAGCGATGAAAGAGCAACACGATGTCTAAAATTACGTACAGCAAAACTTTAAAGTGTCTTCAAGGGATTTCAAAGAGAGCATGATGAAACAGCAAAAAGCCTTTCTACTATTTGTACTACATAGTCATAATTATGAAAAGTTACTTTGCTTTTGTATATGTAACATTACTTAGGTTGGACTCTTCATTGATATATGTGTATGCAAGGCTGTAGTAAGCATAGGAAATAGATTTTTTGTATTAGATTCTAGTTCTAGTGTCAATGCTCTTGCCAAGGGACCAAGTGGAACTTTGTTGAACTTCAATCAGTTATGATGCGCCTTAGCAGTTTTGTTAGAAATAGTTCAGGACTTGAACTCTGTGCCTATTGTGTTATCTGTTACAAAGTGCCTTTTCAAGGTATGGTTTCAGCTCTGTCTCAATCTGAAAGCCAGATTGTTTCCAGGGCCTACACAGGCCAGCTCCTCAGCTTTAGGGCCAACATGCCCCCTAGGAAAATTTTGGCGTAGCTGAATCTCTGAGTAGGCAAAGTTTCCTTTGTAGCATGTTGGCCCTGGAGCCAATAAACTGGCCTGTGTAGGTCCTGCAGCCAAGGAGCTAGCCTGTATAGGCCCTGGAGCCGAGGAGTTGGCCTGTGTAGGCCCTGGAAACAGTCTGGCACTCAGGCTAGTCTAGCATGTTGGCCCAGGAGCCAAGGAGCTGGCCTGTGTGGGCCCTGGAAACAGTCTGGCACTCAGGCTAGTCTAGCATGTTGGGCCTGGAGCTGAGGAGCTGGCCTGTGTAGGCGGCCCTGGAAACAGTCTGGCACCCAGGCTAGCATGTTGGGCCTGGAGCTGAGGAACTGGCCTGTGTAGGCGGCCCTGGAAACAGTCTGGCACCCAGGCTAGCATGTTGGGCCTGGAGCTGAGGAGCTGGCCTGTGTAGGCGGCCCTGGAAACAGTCTGGCATCCAGGCTAGTATGTTGGCCCAGGAGCCAGGAACTGGCCTGTGTAGGCCCTGGAAACAGTCTGGTACCCAGGCTAGCATGTTGGCCCTGGAGCCGAGGAGTTGGCCTGTGTAGACTCTGGAAACAGTCTGGCACCCAGGCAAGCCCTAGATCTGAGGAACTGGCCTGTGTATGCCCTGAAAACAGTCTGGTGTCCAGATAGCAATCTCTTTCTCCCTCCTACATCAATTTTTTTAGAAATACTTATTGTAGTTTTCTAGTGGACATTGTAAATATTGTACATACAAAACGTCAAAACATTTTGTTCTGAAAACATGAACTTCACCTTAGAAAGTTGACAGGGCCTATTTTTGATAAAGTCAAATACCTCCCATCTTGAAAATACAACCCTAAAGGGTCTACACATAGAAACAAAGTCTTGCAGTTCTTGAGTCATAAAAGGACCAAATCTTAGTAACCTCACGCCAAAAAGCAGTTACTCAAGCAACTGGATATGATTTTGGAAACTAGCTTTCGTCAGTGACCTCAGCCAAAAGGGCAAAAATTTCTTTAAAACACAACAAAATTACCTTGAAGTGCAGATCTGACATAAAGATAGTCCATCACTGTATTGGTTAGGTATTCTCAAAAACATTTTTTTAAATAGATGATAAGCCATTAAACTTGTTATTTCTCGTTGTCAAAGTTAAAACTCAAACTTGTTATTTCTGGTTGTGCCTTGACTTGGCTACAGCCTATATGTATTAGATACATCTAAACCAGATGTTGCATTAAGATATCAAAGCAATATGACTTAGGCTTTTTAGGGGCTTATAACATGGTCATTTTCTGATAATATATCAGTACTTGATACTAGGTTCCCTGTGCGTTTTTCTCGTATAGAGGTAACGCACAAGAAACTAGCATCCGTAGCAGGCTTATAGAACATGGGGTTTGATGGTATTCGGCTGTTTTCTGATTAGTCCAGTTCTAACCAAGCTGGCTATGCCTATGTTGTCTTATATACATGTACAATCAGAAAATAGCACATAAAAGCTCCCGAAGACCCCCAAACCCCCAGGTTTTGGCATGCTATGGAGTCGACAAGAAACCCAGTATTCAGAACTTGAATGCCACCAGGAAAAAAACATTTTAAAAGCCCTAAAAATGCTTGACTAGTAAAGTCAAGAAGGCTATAATAAGATATGCAAAGAGACCTCCTTACTGTGTACGTAGACAACAGTTTATTACAATATTTAGATTCATAATAGTGCCTTATATATAGTGTGTGCCTTGTATAATCTACATGTAATGAAGCTACATTTAGAACTTTGCCAATATTGTAAGAAAGAGTCATTCTGGTGCACTGGTTGCACACGTATGATACCAACAAAAGCCAAACAAGAAACGTTACAAAACTTGCATTGTACTTTTTTTACTGATAATTATTTGTTCCCATTAAGTCTCTGTACCAAATGCATAAGATAGAACAGATACATCTGTAGTGTATTTAGCAAAACCTGTTTCTTTTTTTAAATCTCTCAATGCAAACTTTACATGTATAAGTAGCATATTTTGTAACCCAGGATAAGAATATTATTATAATCTTATTTGCATCATTCCACAAGTATGAAAGAGAATTGCGATCATCGGATTGTTGTCAGCAAAGTTTGTCCATGTTTTGTTTTGTTCTTGTTAACTAGTGTGTGTGTGTGTGCCTGAGAGTGTGTGTGTGTGTGTCTGAGTGTGTGTGTGTGTGTGTGTTAGAGATTGTGTGTGTGCCTGTGTGTGTCTCAGCGTGTGTCTTGTGTGTGTGTGTGTGTATGTGTGTGTGTGTGCGTGTGTGTGTGTGTGCGTGTGTGTGTGTGTGTTCATCTGAGTGAGTGTGTGTGTTGGTGTGTGTGTGTGTGTGTGCATCTGAGTGAGTGTGTGTGTGTGTGTTGGAGTGTGTGTGTATGTGTGCATCTGAGTGTGTGTGTGTGTGTGTTACTAGCTTGCATGTGTGTTTGTTAATTAACTAGTGTGTGTGTGTTGGGGTCGGGAGGGGTCTACGTAAGGGTCTGTGGTAAGATTTCCTTGGGGGCATGTTGGCCCTGCAGACTAGTAGATAGCCTTAATTAGGCCCTGGAAGCAGTCTGTTATCCAGGCTATCAGATAAGTAGTTCCCACAAGACTTAGTGGGTCAAGGGTCATATGCCATCCTATGTACCCTCCTATGTATGTTCTTTAGGAGGTGTGGCTTAGCATCTTTGTTGATATAGTACAGTGACAGTAAACCACTTGGGCATTGTGAAATAGCCTGGGTTCCAGACATCTTCAAGGGTCTACACAAGGCAGCTCCTAGGCTCCAGGACCAACATGCCCCCAAGGAAATCTTACCATAGCGTTTTGACGAATATCCAGAGCCCCATGGACGTTATACCCGAGAGGGTTTTGTTCCAGTCATTATAAGATTAAGAAGATTAAGACTACAGGAGGTTGAAGCAAAATTTCTTGTAGGGCATTTTGGCACTGGTTCCTATGCCCTAGAAACAGTCTGGGATCCAGCCTAGCAAATGACATATTTCCTGAGGGGAGTGTCCAAGATCCTAACAGTCTGGTTTCCAGGTTAAATATTAGCTTACTCGCCAAAACCAACACTCGCGAGAGTTGACACAACTACCGGTACAGCTGGGCATATGGCTATCTAGCTAGAGTCAGGCTTTAACTTATTGTGAGTTTTTCAGGGATTTTAGTGCAGACATAACATGAGTGCTAACCAGCGGAGGGCCGCCAGGCCGTCAGCGGACCGACCGGGCACTGGCGTCGGGGAGAACCGCGGTCCTCCCCCGAAGAAGGCGCCTGGAGGTACCGGTAGACTCTTGCTCGTGGTTCACCTGAACAACATGTTGCACAACTTGGCTATGATGATGAACCAAACAGCATTACCTGTAAGTACACACGCACACAGACAGACACACAGACAGACACACACACACACACGCCTTGCTGTATCCAGAACCGTGCTGTATCCAGAACCATACTCAGGCACCGGGTTCTGGATAGTCCACGCATATCCAGAACCGTACCTGGGGTAAAATTTACGCGTAAATGCTTGGATACACGGAGACTAAGTTAGTATCCAGAACCGTACCTGATCCTAACCTGTTCAGGCATACAACTAGATAGTCACGTTTCTGGATACGCATAACATAACTGTTTCTTAAGGTGCATGTAAGAATACGAATGTTTCTCTTAAGGTTACAATGGACTTCTTAAATATATACGACCCGCTAATGTGTAACGGTTTGCCCGGTCAGGTGAACTTTGTCCCGTTATTTTTGGCGCAGCATCGTATTTACCATTTTGCAGTTTCTGACAAAGTCGCTAGGAGTCGTGAACTGACTGTTCGGTGCCTCCGCGATCCGCCATTCTACAGTACACCAAGGACATTATACACTGTGTATAATGTCCTTGAGTACACCGATGAGTTTTTTTAGTGACACCATGTAATAAAATACACTGCGTTTTGTTCTGCAGTTCCTGACAAAGTCGCTAGGAGTCGGAAACAGGATTTTCGGCGCCTTCACCACCACCACGGCCATAGCCCAGCTAATTGGGAGCCCCCTTTTTGGGCGGTTTGGGGATGTGTATGGGGGGAGACTGTCCCTCACGGTGTCGTTTCTGGCCATGACGACCGTGTCCCTGATGTTGGCTGCTTGTGGATCCATCCCAGTACTGTTCCTGACTCGGCTGCCTCTACTTTTCATACACATCGTGCCAAGTAAGACATCTTCTAATACCTTTCTTAGCATGAAAGTTCATATGTGTTGGTACAAGTCATTATGAAATAAAGACTAAGCTTTAACTTCCAACACTTAGATTACGGAATTGGGACTTACCCAAATTTTCTACGGTCACGTGTCTCTGACGTCACGTTCCAAGAGTAGACGGGTCCATTCCGTGAACAAGGTTGATGGAGTCAACCGAAAATTTGGGTAAGTCCCAATTCCGTAATCTAAGTGTTGGAAGTTAAAGCTTAGTCTTTATTTCATAATCTAATACTTTTGTTTAAAATTTTAACCCAACACATTAAAGTTCTCTCACCTAGAGTTTTCGACCAGTCACTCTGGTCCTCCTCAGTTGACTGACCCAGTTTTGACGTCACACTTTAATAATAAACATCCATCTGTAAATGATTTCTTCATGTTGGTGAATGATTGAATAGCCACAACCGCTATTTTAACCTGTACAAGAATATACAAGATTCGACGTTTCGAAACATTGAATAAGTGATTAAAGACTTTTGCCATTCAACAAAACATCCAATATGTAATTATCTATAACGGGTTAACTGCATGCTACATTCTTAACTGTCGCTGAATTTAGTCATTCAAAGTATTCCAAAACGTTATTCGAAGCTTAGAGAAGTCAATTATTTCCGACACATTGAGTAATACATGTATGCGTATTCTTTAAACAACCAAAATGGCGGACGCTGACATAGTCACTCACGTGACTTTCTTCAGGTTTCCAGATGGTGGTGTCTGACGTCACTGATGACGAGTCAAGGGCAGGCGCGCTAGGCCTGCTGGGACTTTCTATGATCAGTGGTATCGTCCTCGGCGCTCTGTCCGGTGGAATGGTGACAGAGAAATACAGGTGAATATTTTATATCAGATATTAACTTCTTATGACCATTCTTTATTGTTTGGGTACAATTCTTTCGCCCATACCAGGCTTCAGAAGCTGGTGTTAAAAGTAGATATTTGCCAAATAGACAGGGGAGTTGGTTTGCCAAAGAAGTACATTTAACTTTTGAAATATTGGTCAGATTTAGGCTCGGAAGTTGCCACTTTATGTAGAACCCGAACTGTGTTCGATCTGGGTAATTCGAACAGAACGCTTGTTCCATTTAGGTCAATGCATTGCGGTCCTTCTACAATAAACGCGAGTGTTTGTGTATGTGTGTGTGTGTGTGTGTGTGTGTGTGTGCGTGTGTGTGTGTGTGTGTGTGTGTGTGTGTGTGTGTGTGTGTGTGTAAAAGGAAGCCGCAGTTTCTTCTTTTTGTACCCTTTATTATTTTTTTAGATGTTAATCTTGTGGTTGTTCGTTTCAGTCCCTCTACGTCGTTCCTAGTCGCCGCCCTCCTGTCAGTGTTGAGTACAGTGGCTGTGTGGTTCAGTATCCCCACACAAACTAAACAGAAGAAGAAAGACGACAAGCCCAAACCAAGTAAGTGGATTTTTGTTTAATCTTTTTCCACACAGCATAGTGGAAAAGTCCATTCATTGCTGTCAGAACATAGCCACGTTGCAGCCAGCGACATTAGGGAGCTACGGAGGATAGTCATGATCAGAACACATAACGTTAACAATAGTTATCGACTCAACAAAATTACGACGAATTCACATTGTAGTAGGCCTACTACAACTGTGGAATTTCACGTAACGTACCTAACTTCTGTTCATTGGCATTCTTTTTGTTTCCAGAGGGTGGTGTTTTCGACGTGAAAGAACTGCAGCGACTCTTGAGGGTTCCTGGCGTCGCGAAGCTTCTTGGAACGAAGTTTCTCCTACTGATGTCCTGTATGATCATACAGAGTATCCTTCCCGTCATCCTCACTGATATCTTCCAAATGGGCGCACAGGACACTGGGATATTCTTCATGGCCTCTGGAATCATGGGAGCGGTAAGGACACTATGTCGAAACCCTGAAACAATTATCTTAACAGTTTCAACAATGTATTTTGGTAACTGAGTAAAGAGACTCTTTTCACACAACCAAGTTTTTTTTTATTCAGCCGACGTTTCGGTGACCGTCTGTCACTTTCCTCAGTGACTTACCAACCTGATGAAACTATTCACGAATATTTTGATAACTGTTCAAAAACTGTGTATTTCTTTATTTGCCACTAACATTTAAAGTAACTGAAGTCATAAATTACCAAAGCGAACGGACAATATGTCTATAGATTTATCAGGACTTTAAATGATGTAAACTTTATATTTCAAAGTACTAGTATTCAAAGCTGAACATTGAAGTTTTTTTCTTTATTTTCCTCAGGTTTTCCAAGTCGCCGTGGTAGGCCCTCTGTCTACGCGTTTTAAGGACAAGTCCCTCATTCTCCTCGCGTCATTCCTTATAGCAGTGGCTGGGTTACTCATGGTAATACTTCTAAATGTATTTGATTGTTTATTCGTTCGTTTTTTTAATGTTTACCGAAGGAAAACATATTGTTTGTGCACGATTACCTCTTCTTCTTCTTCTATAAACCAATAAGGTCAATGAAATGAACCAGACGTCTGTCTCCATGGTAACTAGTATTGGGTTACATCATGTTGCAATTTTATAGCAGGAGGGATTTAGACTCCTGTTACCACAGGAATGTGTTTGAGTAAGAATTAACAGAGCAGACCATATGCGAAGACCATTCCTTTCCTAATAGTTGTTTGAATGTGTCTGTCTCCATGGTAACTAGTGTTGGGTTACATCATGTTGCAATTTTATAGCAGGAAGGATTTAGACTCCTGTCACCATAGGAATGTGACCATTCCTTTCCTAACAGTTGTTTGAAACTTTTTTCCAGGCTGGAGCGACCACTGTCCGGCACATGTACTTCGGGTTCGCGCCTCACGTGTTCGGTAACGTCATGTTTGATGTCGTCATCAACAGCGCTCTGTCTAAGGCTGTTCCACAGGAAGACACAGGTAGCTACTCTCTCTGTCTGTCTCTCTTTGTCGCTCTGTCTCTCTCTGTCTGTGAGACTCTCTCTTTCTCTCTTTTTCTGTGTGTGTGTGTGTGTGTGTGTGTGTGTGTGTATGTGTGTGTGTATGTCTGTCTCTGTTGCTCTGTTTCTCTCTCTCTCTCTCTCTGTCTCTCTTTCTCTCTCTCTGTCCATCTCTGTCCCTCTATCTTTCTCTCCCTCTCTCTCCCTCTCTCTCCCTTCCCCCCTCTCTCTCAGTATCTCTCTCTCTGCATTTAAATATGTGTGAGTGTGTGTATGTGAGTGTGTGTGTGTCCCTGTCTGTGTGTGCATGACATATATATGTGTATTTGAGTGTGTATTTCTGACTCTTTATTACATTTCCCCTATGTACAGGTGCAGTGATGGGTTTTACCGGGACAGTGTACCACCTCTCCATGGTGATGTCCCCGCTCCTCAGCGCGATTATGTTGGAAAACCTCGGCTTCTCCTCTCTTGGACTCACAAGTTCCGCCATTAACGGTCTTATACTCCTCTCTGGCTCCATGCTACTCTAGTTCAAAGTTCATACTGCATAAATGCATTTATGAATGATCAATGAATGAATGAATGTATGTATAAATGAATGAATGATTCCGTCATCAACGGTCTTCCATTATTGAATAAATGAACGAACGAATGAATGAACTAGAAAAGTAACATTTGCATTTAGTATAAAAAAATTACGACTAAGTTTTGCGACTTTTGATAATTCTTCTCACCCAAAAATATACTAGTAGTAAATTAATATATTTGTTAATGAGAAAAATGTATGATTATGAACTATGTCACACAATGTAGTGTGTGATTTTTTGATGTGCAATAAAAATAAATTCAATAGTAATGATACACATTCAACACAAAAGGCTGTTTGTCTGTTTATGCCTGTCTTTATGTATGAAACAAAAGGGTTGAATGGGTTTTGATGCTGTTTGGTATATGTTACGATTGCATAATGTTAACCAACACCTTTCGAAAGGCACTTAACACGACTTTCCTCACTTCGCTCAGGTGAAAATGAGTATTGTATTATGTTGCCGTGTTGGTGGCGGCATTAATATACTAGTAGTTTGAAAAAACTTGAGTGTGCCGTCACCACGTCTGGTGATTACATGTTGGAATACAGCACACTAGTTGCCACGGTGACACACGTCTATTCCAGGTGATTGTCCTTATTTTGGAGAATAAGAAAAAGGAACTGAGCAAAAAAAAACAAAACAACAAAAATATTTGCCAAAGGCAAACATATTCATCCATGGTAAAATCGGCTGCATGACTTTGTGACAGTCTACGTCCTCGTACCAAAGGTGGTAGACTTCGATCTCTGTTCTTCAGTAAAACGTTTCTGTACAGTGGAGTGCAATTATCTACGCTACATGTTAGTCTTAGTAATTAGTACTGTGCTCTACTGGGTGATATATGAGTACTGAGAATCAAGCGGCCTAAGGGTAACCCGACAAGACCGGTCCAGTTACCGAAGGGCACAGCAAGTAATTTTCTTGTATGATATCCGCGCGCGCATTGATTTTTGCCTGTTCTCAAAAAAAAAAAAAGATCACGTCCTCCGACGCTCTCGCCTGGCTCTAGGCCTGGGTAGTCCATGGTAGTTAGCGACAATAGGGAGCCGGCGGTAACTCTGGATGGTAGCTACCGGGGCTTCACGACTCAAGAACTCTAAGTACTTACGTACAGTGCCGATTCATAAATTCCGCAAAAAAAAAAACAGCATGTGCCGGCTTGTCGTATACGTACGTGCCTATATACTGCCGCAAATTCACAATACCAGTTGTATTCCTGTGGTTTGGTAGCAATTTTTGTTTTTGGTCGTATTTTTTTATTCGCCCGCGCGCACTAGTTTAGGAGTCTTCAGAGGATGCCATCCATAAAATTAAGTCGTTGGGGCCTAAGTCATAGTCTTTAGTACTCTGCTCTACATACTGGATGGATACTGGGAAACAGTCGTCATAAGTAGCAGGCTTTTAGAACTGGGGGTTTGGTGGTCTTTTCGGCTGATTTCTGATCAGCCCAGTTCTAAAAACGGGGGTAATTCAACCAGGCCGGCTATGTTGTCTATATGTAATCAGAATATAGCACATAAAAGACCCTGAAGACCTCCCCAAAACCCCCAGTTTTTGGCATGCTGTGGAAGCTACGTCATAAGATAAATGTTCATGATACCTGAAAATACCGGTCCAGTTACCAGTTACCTAAGTTATATATATAGTCACGTGTGTTGCACACTGGGCAAAAAGTAGGAAAACGGTTAGACAACACATCAGACGGAAGATATACTTTCTGAAGTTAACACCAAACATCATGAGCTCCAACAAGACGACTTCTTCTTCAACTGCGGCGGCCGAAGTGACGAAAAGGCAGATGGGACCAGCTGAGGGGACCGAAAAGGAAAAGCAGGGTCGACCAGATGAACCAGTAGAGGGAAGCGACCGTCGGTACCAAATGGGGGAAGGAGAGAAGACCCGGCTTTTGACCATCGTCCGAGTGACCAACGCTCTACACCAGATGTGTTTGACCATGAACAAGGGCGCTTTACCGGTAAGTTTGTGATTTTTGTTAATATAATAATAACCTTTATTGTACACATGTACATTCATGTCCTAGGTGAACAAATGAAAAGGTAATGCCCATGTTTGTAGTACAAACCGCTCTAAAACTACACTAATGTAGAGGTTCGGCTTCTTCTCGTTTCTTTGAGATGTTGAAATATAATTTGAAATGGGTTTGTTTAATACAGGATGATCAAAGCGCATAAGAAAGATATTTTTTTTCAATATTAGTCAAGTATTGGAAATATATTTTCCAATGTTTCATGACTAGACATGGTGACGGCACACTCAAGTTATGGCGCGGTCATATTTCCCAACACCCGGCGCGGCCAGTCGTATGGAACGAAATTTTCGATATAAGACAGCAAAAAAAAAAAAAATTGTAGAAAATTGACCATGAGCACTATTTGTGTATACATGTACTCTTAATAAAAATTGTTAATTTTTCGTTCACGTAAACAAGTCATTACATCAACTCATTTTATGCCGCCACCAACGCAGAGTTAAGTGAGGAAAGTCGTGTAAAGTGCCTTTCCCAACAAGGAAACAAGATCGGTGGCATGTCAGGACTCGAACCCGCAACCTCTCGAGGTTCCATCCCGACTGTGGGTCGGATCGTCCGAGGGTAGAAGGGAATTCGAACCCGCGAGAGGGCTGGGACCGAGGGTGATGCGGAATACACCATATTTAGGTCATCCCGAGAAAACACAACTTTCAATGCGAAATAAACGAACTTTTCGTGTCCTTAGACCAAAGAAAAAAATGCAACAACATCAATTCCAACAGCCGAATCCTGTATTCGAATTTTCGAAAGCGGTTCGGTCGAAACGCGTTCGAATCGTTCTGTGGAACATTTGGAAACCCGGGCCGTGCCGCAATGCTGAGGTCACAATTCCCACACGTCCGGGCAGCATTTGGGAACGAAAAGTGCGACATAAAAGACCACAAAACACAGAATTTGTTAAAATAATAATCATGGGCACTATTTCTGTATATTTTTTTATATGAATAGTTAATACGGGGTCGTGTGGCGTAGCGGCAGCGTGCTCGACTGGGAATATATATGCGACTCTATCAATGGGTAATCTGAACATTTAAAAGCTCCATTGTGTAATTTATTCTTAACAAAGATTTGAAATATACTTTCACCATTTGCTGCCACTTTTTAATGTATTTGAGTCAGTATTTCAAACTTCTGAAGAATATTTTGTGCTCACATTTATGCTTAAGTAGTCTGATAATCGTTACGCGTAATTTTTGGTATGGTCCAGGTCATTGAACAGTTATCATGGTGACAGTGATTGTCCAGGTCATAGACCTTATGTTTTAATATGGTACAGGTTACTCACCATTGGAGCGGAACGTTAACATAAATATATAACAATTATCAGTGATTTCAACATTTACTTACCCTTTTCAATATATTTGAGTCATTATTTTACATTTCTGAAGAATATTTTGTGCTCACAAACAGACTTTTGCCAAAGAAGTAGTCTAATAATCATAACGCCTTATTAGGTATCGTCCAGGTCACTGAACATGACCAGTTACCATGGTGACAGCCATCTGGCCCAGGTCATTAACCTTGTGTTTTAGTATGGTACAGGTTACTGACCTTGCTTTGGAGTGGAAAAAGAAGAACGGAGAAAAAAAAACGTTTTCCTTCTCTGAAGGTTAACATAGATATATTACAAATATCGGTGATTTCACCATTTAATATCACTTTTTAATCTATTTGCGTCAGTATTTTCACGGTTCGGAAGAATGCAATGCACTTTTACTAGTCTCTATACCAGACTAACTACGCTGGCTCTATATAATTTATATAGGAGAATATTTGCCAGGGGAGTTCGGCCACCTTGGGGTTTGACTGGCCGACACCCGAGTACGCTCTGCATAGAGCACGGGAGACCTTCTGTCACATTTCTAAAGAATTTTCTGTGCACACACACACACAAAAACACTCTTCGCTTTCACTGAGTTGTCTGATAATTTGAAGGCCATTAACCCACATCGAGGGCCTACCGCCCTAGGCTGGTCGAGACAACTCAAGGAAGGCACGTGTGCACAAAATCGTCGCCAAAAATGTGAAAATTATAAAGCGAATATGTTAAAAAATGATAGTAAATGTTGATTTGAGGATATACTGAAATAAAATGAAAGGAAATATAGGTTAGGCTAGTAGATAAAGGCACATGTCATTAAGATCAGCTTCTCTAGAAACACTTATATCTTTCACATGAGGTATTATACAATCATGAACTTAGTCTATGTTATTGGACATCAACAAACTGAGGTCAAATGTTATTCCTAGAACAGTGCAATAAAATCTGATGAAGATGAGGTTTTAAAGATTCTGGTAAACTGTCAACCGGCACTCCTGGCTACTGGGCAATAATTCACACAGTACATGTAGTAATTAACAAAAGACACCCTGGCCAACCATTTGTGCATGTTGCTGCTTTGGAAACACATCTTTCACATGAGGTACTATGTAATTATGAACGTAACAGTCGATCTTATTAAGCTTAAGCATCAACAAACTGAGGTCATTATTCCTTCAACATTGGAATAAAATCGGAGAAAGATGTACTTTTACAGATCCTGGTAAACTATCAACTGGTACCCAGGGCCAGTGGACAGTACTTCACATAGCAAATGATTTATTAATTTACAAAACACCCTGGTCAACCATTTGTGCGTGTTGCAAGGAGTGGAATTGGAAGATCGTTCACAGTTTTTAAGCATGTTTGTATGGAGCAACGATGTTGCATTTTCTTTACCAGTTCTGGAATTTCTACTCAAGGGTTAAGTCCTTCACCTTTTGTTGTCTAGATAAGAACAGCCTACAGTGATAGCCCTCTGAACAGAGTTAATTAGTGTAATAATTGCACAGGCAGGTAGATAAAAGCATATGTCATTAAGATCAACTTCTTCAAAAACACTCATATCTTTCACATGAGGTATTATATAATTATGAAATTAGTCTTTTTTTTATTGGACATCAACAAATTGAAATCATGATACTTCGAACATCGGAATAAAATCGGGGAAAGATGAGGTTTTATAGAAGATGGTGAGTTACCAAATGGCACCCATAGCTACTAGACAGTAATTAACATAGCAGTAACTCACAAAAGACACCCTGGTCAACCGTTTTGTTCACACTTTCCCTCACCTTTTGTGTCTAGATGAGAACAGCCAACATTGCTAGGGCACAAAAAGCACTGGTGTTCCATTTTGTACACAGGGTCCTACACCTTTAGCTGTCTTAATACGAACAGCTTACAGTTGTACTTAGGCCACACCGATTTAATTTTATGGATGACATCCGCGCGCGCATTGATTTTCGCCCGATCTAAAAAAAAAAAAAAAAAAAGATCACGTATTCCGAGGCTCTGGCCTGGCTTTAGGCCTGGGTAGTGCATGGTGGTGATAACTCTGACGGCAGCCAGGCTACCGAAGCTCCAAGACTCAAGATCTCAGTACATACGTACAGTGTCGATTCATATATTCCGCAAAAATCCAGCATGTGTCGGCCTGTCGTATACGTCGCTATGTAATGCGCCAAATTCACAATACCAGGTTTGTATTCCTGTGGTTTTGTAGCATTTTTATTTTTGGCCGGATTTTTATTTTTTTCGCCCGCGCGCACTAGTTTGGGGGTCTTCAGAGGATGTTATCCATAAAATTAAATCGGTGTGTACTTAACACAGTTTTCACAGTTTTTAAGCATGTTTGTATGGAGCAACGATGTTGCATTTTCATGTTCTTTACCAGAATATTGTTCTGGAATACTAAAGGGTTATAAGTCCTTCACCTTTTGTTACCTGGATAAGAACAGCCCACAGTGGTAGCCCCCAGAAGAGAGATAATTAGTGTTATAATTGCACAGGCTGGTAGATAAAAGCATATGTCAGGGGGTCATCTTCTTTGTAAACACATCTTTCACATGAGGTATTATATAATTATGAACTTAGTCTACTTAATCAGGCATCAACAAACTGAGATCATTATCCTTGGAACATTGGAGTAAAACCGGGGAAAGATGTAGGTTTTACAGAAGATGGTGAGTTATCAAATGGCACCCATAGCCACTAGCCAGTAATTAACATAGCAGTAACTCACAAAAGACACCCTGGTCTACCATGTGTGCTCACTTTCCTTCACCTTTTGTTATCTAAATAAGAAAAGGCTACAGAGGTAGCCCCCAGAAGAGAGTTAATTAGTGTAATTATTGCAGAGGCTGGTAGATAAAAACACATGTCATAGGATCAGATTCATATTTCACATGAGGTATTATATAATTATGAACTTAGTCTATCTTATCAAGCATCAACAAACTGAGGTACCGGTCATTGCAATAAAATATGGTAAAGATGACTCAGAGCTTTTATGGAAGCTGGTGAGCTACCAACTGGTACTCGGGCCACTGAACAGCAATTATATAATTGACGCACCAGTAATTCACGAAAGAGACACTGGTCAACCATTTCGTGCATACGGTCGTTCACCATTACTTGTCTAGATAAGAACAACCAACATTGGTAGGCCACCGAAAAAGATTAATGTTAAGTACTGTAATAATTGCATAGGCTTGTAGATAAAAACACATGTCATAGGATCAGCTTCATATTTCACATGAGGTATTATATAATTATGAACTTAGTCTACTTAATCAGGCATCAACAAACTGAGATCATTATCCTTGGAACATTGGAGTAAAACCGGGGAAAGATGTAGTTTTACAGAAGCTGGTGAGCTACCAACTGGTAGTCGGGCCACTGAACAGCAATTATATAATTGACGCACCAGTAATTCACGAAAGAGACAATGGTCAATCGTTCATACGGTTCTTCACCCTTAGTTGTATAGATAAGTACAGTGGTAGGCCGGCCGAACAGGGCTAAATAATTGCATAGGCTGGTAGATAAAAGCACAGGTCAGGAGGTCATCAGCTTCTTTAGAAACACTCATATCTTTCACATGAGGTATCATATAATTATGAACATAGTCTATTTTATTGGACATCAGCAAATTGAAGTCAAATGTTATTCAATGAACAGTGCAATACAATGTGATGAAGATGAGGTTTTATAGAAACTGGTTAACTATCAAATGGCACCCATAGCCACTAGCCAGTAATTGACATAGCAGTACCTCACAAAAGACACCCTGGTCAACCATTTTGTTCACACTTTCCCTCACCTTTTGTGTCTAGATGAGAACAGCCAACATTTGTAGCCAGCCCCCCCCCCCCCGAAGAGAGATAATTAGTGGAGTAATTGCACAGGCTGGTAGATAAAAGCACAGGTCAGGAGGTCATCAGCTTCTTTAGAAACACTCATATCTTTCACATGAGGTATCATATAATTATGAACTTAGTCTACTTAATCAGGCATCAACAAACTGAGATCATTATCCTTCGAACATTGGAGTAAAATCGGGGAAAGATGTAGTTTTACAGAAGCTGTTTAGCTACCAAATGGCACCCCTGGCCAATGGACAGTAATTAACAAAGCAGAAACTCACAAATGATACGCTGGTCTACCGTTTTGTTCACACTTTCCCTCGCCTTTTGTTATCTAGACAAGAACAGCCTACATTGGTAGCCCCCCGAAGAGGACTAATTACTATGTAGTCTAATAATTACGTAGGCTAGTAATTAAAAAGCACATGTCAAAGGTTCAGCTTCTTTGGAAACAACAGACTGACGACATTATCCCTTTACCATTGCAAAAGAATATAGTAAACATGAGGTTTTAAAGATCCTGGTGAACTATCAACTGGCACTCCTGGCTACTGGACAATAATTCACACAGTAGTAATTCACAAAAGACACACTGGTCAACCATGTGTGCATGTTGCTTCTTTGGAAACACGTCTTTCACATGAGGTAGTATATAATTATGAACTTGGTCTATCTTATCAAGCATCAACAAACTGAGGTACCGATCATTGCAATAGAATCTGGTAAAGATGAAATTTTACGTAAGCTGGTAAACTGTCAACTGGCACTCCTGGCTACTGGGCAATAATTCACAGAGTCGTAATTCACAAAAGACACACTGGTCAACCATGTGTGCATGTTGCTTCTTTGGAAACACGTCTTTCACATGAGGTAGTATATAATTATGAACTTGGTCTATCTTATCAAGCATCAACAAACTGAGGTACCGATCATTGCAATAGAATCTGGTAAAGATGAGATTTTACGTAAGCTGGTAAACTGTCAACTGGCACTCCTGGCTACTGGACAATAATTCACACAGTAGTAATTAACAAAAGACACTGGTCAATCATCTGTGCATGTTGCCAGGAGTTAAATTGGAAGATCGATCACATTTTTTAAGCATGTTTGTATGGAGCAATGATGTTGCATTTTCTTTACCAGAATATTGTTCTGGAATATTCAAGGGTTGAGTCAACTTACTATGGAAAGAAATGACTGGAAAATAAACTTTCTACATTAGCAAAAATGCATATTTCTGCCATATAATTTGTGTACACAATCAGTCTGATCGAAGCACCTAATTATATGAGTCACTCTGAGTTGTCTATAGCCACAGCCTAGGGGGGGGGGGGTCAATCACTTTACTTGATGTGTAGTAAGAGGAGTAATGTAGGTGATAGGTCAGGCTGTAAAGTGTTAGATAACAGGTGAGTGGTCACAACAAAAAGCGGCACCTGGTTTTTCAGGTTTGGGTTTCTGCTCGGGGCTGTCAACCTCGTCACTTTCCATTTCTTGTCATAGCAACAAAACAAATCGAGAAATACCGCTGACGTCACTACAGAAGAACCAGAACGATCACTTGATGATTGTATATATACGCACACACTCATCCACCCCTACACACAGAAGTATATATATATATATATGTGTGTGTGTTTGTGTGTGTGTGTGTCTGTGTGTGTGTGTCTGTGTGTGTGTGTGTGAGTGTGGCAGTTCGTGTGTGTGTCATATACGCTGCACAATTTTACCTGCACAATTTTACTACAATAAAACCTAATCCTCTTCCCCATGCAGTATCTCACCAAGCGTCTGAACCTCAGCAACACGCTTTGGGGGCATCTCATCACCGCCACTGCCCTGCTGCAGTTCATCGGAAATCCGCTAGTCGGCCGCTTCGGTGACGTGTACGGAGGACGGATGTCGCTGACCCTGTCCTGCGTTGCCATGGCGACCTTTGCGGTCATGCTGTCAACCTGTGACTCTTTCTCCGGTTTGCTGCTGACCAAGGTCCCCTTCGCGTTCTCACACGCTCCAACGTGTAAGTCTCAACTTTTCATGTTTAGGCCACAGCGAGTAAATCTTATGGATGATATCATCCGCAGACTCCAAATCTAATGCGAGCGGGCGAAATAAAACAAGACGACGACGAAAAAACAAGGTTCCTACATTATAAAATTTTGACTCAATCATTGATTCAGTGGGAACATCACATATACACAGCCAGCATCACATATCACTGCATCAAAGTGAAAAACAAAACATTAAATCAGAGCCTTTGTAACAACATCTTTGCCCATTTTCGGTATGTTGATCACCGTCAGAAGGGAACAAAATTTCTTTTTTTTTCCCCAAATCAGGCGAAAATTAATGCGCGCGCTGATGTCATCCATAAAAATTACTCGCTGTGGCCTTACCGAAGGAAAAGATATATTACGCCAAAAAGCGTAGACGTTTCAGACGGTCAGACGTTTCAGCTAGTATCCACTGGCTTTCGTCTGAAAGCTAGTGGATACTAGCTGAAATGTCTGATCGTTTCCAAAATCATATCCAGTTGCTTGAGTAACTGCTTTTTGGCGTATCGTATTACCTGGATGTCTAACATTCATCGACGAAAACATATATTGTTTTTGCTCAGTTTCTTCCTCTTCTTCTCAAAACAAATAAGGTCATGATCTGAACAAGACGTCGTTTACCATGGTAACTAGTGTTGCGTTACATCATGATGAAAAGGAAGAGTTATTATTTAGTCATTTGTTCAACTTTTAGGACAACGTAAATATTTTTAACGAAGGTAACTTTTTTACAAGACCTTTTTTGTTGACACGCTTGCATCAGTTTTGGGGTTCCCAGGGAATGTCATCAATATTATCAAATCGACATGATCTTATTCCAGTTTCTTCCCTTTTTTTTAGCCCAACAGATGTTGATTTCTGACGTCACTGATGACGCAGCTCGTACCACAGAGATGGGGACGTTGCGGGTTCTGACCTATGTTGGACACATGGTCGGATCGGCCATTGGTGGGACTATCACCGAAACATATGGGTAAGTTACATCAATGAAGGTTAGACATCTAGGTAATAAGATACGCCAAAAAGCAGTTACTTAAGCAAGTTGCTTGAGTAACTGCTTTTTGGCGCACATGGGTAAGTGCTTTGTTATCAAATTGTCAATGAGTTATTGCCTGGATTAGATAAATATAGATGCAGTTGTTGTTGTTTTCCATTTTTTAACGTTTTAAGATTCTTTTTCTTCTTCTTCTTCCGATAATGACATTTGTAGTGTATTGTTCCGAATGTGGTAATTAAAAATATAGAAACTTCATTCATTAAATAAAAATACGAGGATTCTTTTTGCATGAAGACAGTTCTTTTTGCATGAAGACAGTACATCCATTGAAGTAACGAATGATTTTTAAGTTGTTGATGCTCTCTTTACAGAACAACGGCTACATTTCTGTGTACCGCCATGTTGTCCTGTGTGTCAGCCTTACTCGCCTGGATCTACATTCCTGCAGACACAAAGCCACTCAGAGACAAGAACAAGAACGTACCCAAAAGTAAGTTGAACATCTCCAAGCAAATCTTTTGGTATCTGCGAAGACAGTATCGAATTGGCTAGTCAGTATCCATTTGCCAGACAGTTACCATACTTGCCACTGAAAGTAAATGTTCTCACCTAGAGCTTTAGGCCAGTCACTTTAATCTTCCTCAGTAGACTGCATGACCCAGTGTTGACGTCACACTTTAAAGAAGCCACGTGACAAGCTCCACTGTGTTAGTCTACTGATGAAGGCCAGAGTGACTGGTTGAAAGCTGTAGGAAAGAACACTTTTCCTTGGGTGGCAAATATGGTAAATGACTGGCCAATTACACACTGTCTTTCCAGCCATAATAGAAGTTTGCCGATGAACAAGAAAGGTAACATTTGCAAGGCAAATGCATAGTGTTTACCTTCACATATGGCCTGCTCTGTTAATTTTTGCTCAAACACATTTCATATATGTGGTTAGACAGGAGTCTAAATCCCTCTTGCTATAAAATTGCAACATGATGTAACCCAACATTAGTAACTATGGTAACAGAAACAGCAAATTGGTCATTGAGCTCACTGGAGAGAAGACGAAGAAGAGGAGGAGGAAGCAACAATATGTTTTCCTTCGGTAAACATAATAATGCTGCATTGTATTTTCAGTACATTTTGTCACCGATTAACAACTACATTCTGTTCACACTTTCAGGCAGGGGCATCGTCAGCCTCAGTGACATCGTGAGGCCAATGCAGACTCGGGCAGTGGCGCACCTACTCGGAATCCGGTTCTCCTTCATTATGGCGAACCAGCTCATCCTGAATTCCTTCCCCATCATACTGAGAGACAACTTTGAGATGGGCCCCCAGGAAGCTGGCATGTTCACCATGTACAGCACCCTGGCCTCGGTGGTGAGTGTACCCATTCATTCTTTCCTAGAAGTATCACAGAGTGTAACTTGCTGTCACCAAGTACATTAGGGGCATTGTCATTAGATAGCTTTAAACAATGTCTAGAGCTAGAAGTTGAAGGGTTAGTTCACTTAGGTGTAACAGGTTGATCGGTGTAATATAGCCAGCTGCAGCCGCGCCGCGTGCCTGCGAAGCTGGTGTGTTACGCCGAAAGGCGGTTATACCGGCTATACAGAAGCTGGTGTGTTACGCCGAAAGGCGGTTATACCGGCTATACAGATACAGATACCCTATACTTATGTTAACCTTCCTTACCTTAGACCTTAGATCCTCCCGCAACCTTGTTGCATAGGTCGACTCCTTGTCTGACTTTTTGTCTCCAAAGGTTTCGGTCTTGCGCCACTACTGCCATATCCTTAAGTGAGTTAAGTCCAAGTTTTACCCCATCATTTTGTAGTGTTTTCCGCAAAGTCACTCTAGGCCGCCCTCTCGGGCGTGTGCCTTCTGGCTTCCATGTTAGGGCTGTTTTTGTGGTTCTGAGATCAGGGAGTCTCCACACATGTCCAGCAAAGCTTCGCAGAAGGAAAACGTAGGAATGTAATACTGTAACTTTTCTGTTGCTGATAGTGCAATCTGGCCTGTATTGTGGCAGTTGTTTTGAGGAAAATGAGCGTCTTTGTTTTGTAGGTACTCCAAGTGGTGTTGATCCGTCCGCTGACCAAGCGCTACAAGGACTTCCCCCTGCTGATGCTGGCTTCACTGGCGTTGACCACTTCTTACATGACACTGGTGAGCTAAGTCTTAAAGAATTGAATATTCGAAATCGTGTTATCAAGTTAATGAAACATTGCAGTTGTAATATACTGGCTTCAGTTTCTTCCAACAGTTGAATGCGTCTAATTTAAAACTTTATTACAGTAGTGAATGGGGCTGAGATGTGTCACAATTCAACCAAACCTGAACCACCCCCAAACCAGAGCTACACCACCCCTAGACCAGACCTAAACCACACCTAAACCAGCCGTCGACCAGACCTAAACCACACCAAAACCACCCTTCAACCGACCTAAACAACCCCTAAACCACACCCCAACCACACCTAAACCACACCTTAACCAGACCTAAACAAAACCTAAACAACACCTAAACCACACCTGGACATGTATGTGTTGTTTTACAGACATGTATGACGGAAAACTGGCACCTTTACGTTTATGCCATCCTGAAAAACTTCGGAGTCATCCTGAGGAACAATGTCGTCCTGTCGGCCCTGTCAAAAGCGGCACCTGGCGAAGACACAGGTACTGCAGGCATCCACAATACTAGTTATCGTTTTGTCTTATAACGAATGAACCTATTTATGATTATGCAGTGAGGTAAATATTTTTCTTTGAGACAAATGTTTGTGTAAAAATTCTCTTCATTCAATCTCTTAATACTTTTTTTACCTTTTTGTCCAGGTACTGTGATGGCTTTGGGAGCCATGGTCGAAAGTCTGACGCAGATCATCTCTCCACCAATCAGCGCCTACTTTCTGGATCACGTGGGCTACCAGTATTTAGGAGCTACCAGTTCCACGATCACTGCTATGGTGACCGGGTTTATGTTACTGACTAGGGAAGAATTCAAATGAGAACATGTTTACTATATGTTTAAAGTTAAAACTTTAGATCTAGATCCAACACGATCCAACAAGATCCAACAAGTTCTCTCACCTAGAGCTTTCGACTAGTCACTCTGGTCTTCCTCAGTAGACTGACCCAGTGAGGCTTGTCACGTGGCTTCTTTGAAGTGTGACGTTAACACTTGGTCAAAGGTATATGGTATTTACATCAGGACCCATCACCCTTCACTCAACCGGGACGGGGGCCGACATCGTCTACCAGATACCTCTACTGAGGATACCAGAGTGACCGGTCTAAAGCTCTAGGTCAGAGAACTTCATCCTGTTGGATCTAAAGTTTAAACTTTAGACATGTAACTACATGTAGACCCTTGCGACAGTTCCACGAAGAGTGTATGGAAGAAGTATGTTATAGCAGAACTTAATTGCAAAACAGATTTAACGGGTACAACGTATGACAAAATATATACATATCACATAGTTGGTGATGTTAACAATATCTAACAATTCTCAGGGTTGCGATTGCACGGGTAATGTTTGACCAATAAACCATTTGTTATCATTATTATTACAATCATTATTATTATGTGTGGTTAAGTTTAATGCTTACATTTTGTTGATGGGTGTTGGAAAGTAGGTATTAGTATCTTTTGGAAACCCATAGCGTCATGTTGTATAAGAAAAAAAATTATATATTAAATTCCTTTTTTATGATTTTAAGTCATTTATCCATAGTGACCATTTTGCATCTATCTCTTGATGAAAAAATTAAGTTTATTGCAATTTTCTGCCCTAATTGCAAATGATATCGCCGAAACAGGGTACAAAATAACTATATTATCTACATAATAAATTGTCTGGAGCTACGGTAGAAGGGTTACTATTATTATTGTTGTCTTTATTCCAAATAAAGTTTCAAAGTTTTCGCACGTGTGTCTTTGATTGCATGTCCAGTATTGGAGCGAATAATATGAACTTATAGATGTAAAAAACTATACTAATCGGGAATTTGTCAAAATACGACGATGACGTAGTCGTCTTACGTCTCTTAGCCAAGATCTATTTTGTAGAGTTTTCTTTCTGTCTCCAGAAAAGCCAACAAAATAGAGACGGGAACCTTAAAACGTAGAAAAAAGTAGTAAAGGAAAGACTTCCTAAAACAGACCAAACCTCTGCTTGGAGAGTATACACTGGCACGCAAGAATTCTCTGTACACCGATCATGCCAATCGAATTAACCTGTCCAACCAATCACAGCATGACAATTTATAGTTCGACCAATGAAAGAGCGGCTGCATTTACGAGTGGAACCAATTATCAGACCAACCAATCACAGCATGGCAGTTAGTAGATCGACCAATGAGAGAGCGGCTTCTCACCTGTGTAGCTGGGATGTACCAACGGCTGGTAGGGGGGTACGTGTTTTCATGTGATTTTTTTATTGATTTTTGTGATTTTTTTTTATAGATCGAGACAGAACAACAAAAACACTGTATTTAATTTTTTTCCACAAGAAAACGTTTGGAAACTGAGCAAGAATTCCTGAAGGGTGTTGAAGGAGGCACTTCCGTTTTCTTAAATACCCCCCCCCCCCGAAGAAAATTTAACAGTCCAACCATCAACCGTAGAGGTTTGTATTCAAATAGGACATTTCGTTTTTGAAGACGAAGCTAGCACAGACACGCACGGCCCAGCGCCTACATTTGCTGCCCGCAAGGTAAGCTTTTCCCCCATTCCAGCTGTAGAATAACACTGGCTATCCACGTATTGCCTTCTGCAGTGTTCGCAGAGAAACTGGAGTTGACTTTTGAGTCTTTTACTCCATGGAAATGAAGTCGCTCTCATCTGGCGCCCGGCAAGCTTGTCTGGAATTTGTACATTCTCCTGAAAGTAATTCCGTGAACATCTTTAAATTCTTCATTTTTCAGTAAATGTGGTACCAAAGATCAAATAGAATACGTGTAATTGAAGTTTCCAACCGATTTTTTAGCAATTTTCTGTCAAGATTGTGGCTAGAAAAAATTCTTTAGGATCGCCTGTCAATCACTCGTCTCGTGGCTACCGGTAACATTATGTTCTCGCCAAAAGTCTCTATCGTTATTTGAAACAACTGAATCCAAACGTGTTTATAGCATTTTATTTAGACAACAATTGTCAAATTAGCGAGGGTTTCTGTCATGAAAATCTATATTTTCACGGTTAAAGTAGATTTTTTGCTCGATTCTGGTCAACAACATCGGCTCCCGGTAATGTATGCTCGGTGCCGGGCCAAAGTTCCCGCCACTAAGTTTTTGCCACAAGCGTCATTTGAAACTGCTTAAGCCAAACGTGTTTATAGCATTTTATTTAAACAACCAGTGTCAAATTAGTGAGGGTTTCTGTCATAGAAATCTATATTTTCATGGTTAAAGTTGATTTTTTGGACGATTCTGGACAACAACAACGGCTCCCGGTAATGTATGCTCGGTGCCGGGCCAAAGTTCCCGCCACAAGTTTTTGCCACAAGCGTCATTTGAAACTGCTTAAGCCAAACGTGTTTATAGCATTTTATTTGAACAACCAGTGTCAAATTACCTAGGGTTTCTGTCATAGAAATCTATATTTACATGGTTAAAGTTGATTTTTGTTCGATTCTGGTCAGCCACAACGTCTCCCGGTAATGTATGCTCGGTACCGGGCCGTAGTTCCCGCCACAAGTTTTTGCCACAAGTGTCATTTGAAACTGCTTAAGCCAAACGTGTTTGTACACTTCATACCAACAGCCAGTGTCAAATTAGCGAAGGTTTCTGTCATGAAATGTCAAATTAGCGAAGGTTTCTGTCATGAAATGTCTGTTTTTATTCTTATAGTAGTTTTTTGCCCGATTTTGGTCAAGCCTCTCGGCAGCTGATTCATCCGTCAATCACCGGTTTCCCGTAGTTACCGAAGATGTTTTGGTCATATTTCGCGCCACGATAATGTATGCATAGCCCTGGCTCCGACCGCCAAAATAACTGTAGCGTTACATGTAACAACTTTAGCCAAGCATATTCGGAGCAATTTATTTGAACTGTCGGTGTGAAATTGTTGACGTTTTCTGTCACGAAATGGCAAATTTAAATGTTTCTTGTTTTTTTTCCCAGTCCAGCCGGCCGGCCAAAGGCGGGGTTTGGATGCCATGGCGTCAGAATTCCTCCATCCAGGTGCGTTTACTGTAAATTTCACTTTTTTTGCTGAGCTAGAATGAACCGTTTTAAAGATGTACCCGTACGTGTACGTTATCCTGCACATTGTGAGAGATTAGCGCAGTGTGTTGACTGACTTGGTGTCCATATATCGTAAAGTTGACTTGTGTCCGTACCGTAGCGTTAAGCCTTGTGTTTACGGTTAAATCTGCAGGTTGCACCGACGAATTTACGCACCCCTCTCGTATCGGGGCCCGTCAATAGCTATTCAATATGTCTTGCTAAGTTGTAAATGTTTTGGAGGTATTGTTAACAATAACATGGGTTAACTTGCTTGTTTAGGCACTGTTGTTATGCCTGTTTCTCCTATATATTCATCCAAGTACATTCTAATGTATGAATACATAAATGGCTGACATTCATAATCAACTCTTCTTACGTTGCTCTTATTATAAATCAGCAGCCTCTAAAACTATTAGTCTTCCTTTTGCACACAGGGCGCCCCCTGATGGCAGAAGATGGTACTGCTGCACTCAACAGATTCTGGCTGAATCTGAACTCGCGGGATGGATTGGATCGTGGATTGGATTGTGGGGCTTGTTACTTTATACCAGATGTTTCCTGAAGGAAGCAAGCTTCACGAAGACGACTTGACCAGATAAAACTTAATTTTGTTTTACCGTCAAACATAAAGAGTAAGGGAGGGGGGCGTTGGGAGACTTTATATTACATGCAATCTTTAGTGTGAACAGTTTTGTAGTTTATGTAGGGAATGTTTGGACACGATGTGCCTTGTTTTTACTTCTATGCAATATTTATGTCATTATGTTACTTAGTAATAGATAGAATTTTGGGGTGTAGGGATACAATTTCTTAGACTTAGTTGTAGCTAAGTAAGCTTGTCACTTGTTATGATGTAAGAGATTGTACTAATGTATCTAAATAAGTTGGAAAATTGAGAGCATGAAAGTGATTTTCTTGGTGTTAATTTTTGCACCTGTTTATGCCATGGCTTGCTCTCTGATGCTCACATGCACTTGACTTTTAGATTTAGACTTAGACTTAGCGAAGGTGAGTTTAACCTAGGGACCATTAGGGAACGTAGTTAGGGAACGTAGTTAGTAGTCTAAGTGTGTGCTGACACAGGGAGCAAAATCCTGGCCTGCAAAAATGATTGTTTTTGTATAATCACAAGGCACACCAAAAACTTAGCTAGTCGTCGATGTTCGAGAGGAGCACTTGTGTATTGCTGTGGAGAGGACAAGCCAGACTGCCCAGCTGAGATGCCAGAGGTGAGCCATGTGGGGACTGCATGCTGTACTAACATGTACTTTTTCTCCCTTGACAAAATTTGGGGGGGAACCCACAAACTCGCGTAGCACTCACGTTGGGTTAGGGCCAAACCATAACTAACCTGTCCTTCCTTTACTCCGGCAACTTATGCCATTTTATGTTTTTTGTCCCATACTAGGGAGGGAAAAGCCTGGTTACCGGGCTAATATTATCCGCAGAGTGTTTATCCTCTCGAGCAATAGGTCTGGTAACCGGGCTATGGGAAACCGGGGTCCTTCCGAAAGGGCGTTTTTTTATCTTCTTTAGTTTGACTTCGTTTTCAGATCCTGAGGTTCAGAGGCTCAGTCTTCATTCGAGGAAGGAAGGAAGGAAGCTTCGACCAATACTGTCCTTGCTTCGACGAAGACTACAAGACCAGATGAGATTTTTCTTTCTTCCCGTTAAATGTAACGAGTAAGGGTGGGCGACGTTGAAAGACTTCAAGCCAGAGTTTATACCACATACCTTGTTGGGTCTGAAAAGTTTAGTAGCACCCAGAAACAGGGTACGATGGAGGGAGTAGGAATGGAGTGAAATTGTTACTAACTTCTCTAACGAAAGGGTTTTCTTTCTCTTCTTCTTTAGTTTGACTTTGTATACAGATCCTGACGTTCATCGTTGGAAGCAGATCGTGGTCT